TTTTTTTTTGTAAACTGGGCTGCAGATCTTGGAGATGATTGTTTTTAGCAGGAATTGCCTGGTTTCCTCCGAGTCGGACTGCCACCCACAGACAACTACGGGATAGTTTGGGGCAAAAGCAGGCAAACTACTTATGAAACCCGCCAGGTACACAAGGCTTCCTGGCCCGATTTCTGGTGCCATTGATGTTTTCATCACACAGGACACCAGGATGTTTTATAGCAATTTGGGCACCCAAATTCTCCCTTTCTTCTGGCTACGTAGTTGTTCCATACAGTCTCCATCACATTTGAGCACAAGCAGTCACTATACTTTTTCATCCGATGTAAATTCGGAGTTCAGAATGCAGTATAATGGCTAAGTGCACGACCTTTTTAGATCCAGAAAGATCTGCCCGATTCTAGTTTCTATGACCGTGAACAAGTTACTTAATTCTCTGCGTCATCTTAATAATTCTCTGCCTCATCTGTTAAAATGGGACTGAAAATGTCGTGGTATATGTGGAGTTGTTACCAGAGTCAAGGAGTTGATTATGTAAAGCACTTAACTCGGCTTGTCACAGAGTAGATCATAAATGCTAGCTATTATCCTTACAAATGCAAAAGCTTGTTTCACATTCAGTTTGACTTGGTCAATCCTTCCCAATCACTTCTAGTGCTGTCCTGTTTTTTTTTTTTTTTCAACGTTTTTTTATTTTTTGGGACAGAGAGAGACAGAGCATGAACGGGGGAGGGGCAGAGAAAGAGGGAGACACAGAATCGGAAACAGGCTCCAGGCTCTGAGCCATCAGCCCAGAGCCCGACGCGGGGCTCGAACTCACGGACCGCGAGATCGTGACCTGGCTGAAGTCGGACGCTTAACCGACTGCGCCACCCAGGCGCCCCTGTCCTGTTTTGTTTTTAGACACTGAACGTGTATCTTATGAGCGTCTATTAGCTGCATGTGCCAATTAGGGAAATCAAGTCTTTGAGGTTTTATCTGTCTAGTCTTTATTAGTTGAGACTCAACAGACTTCTTGTTTCTAAGTCTGCTGTGTGCAAGATGTGGCTTATGCAGCTTCTCATAGGTGCGTAGGGGTGAAATGCACATCTATCTTATTTACCCAGTGAGACTCCTTCCCAGTTTGGTCAGGTGCTTCTTCATCCAATACAGCTCAGCTAGATACTGACTGGTGTCAGTCCCTCCCGTCTCTTCCTCAGCTTCTCGTCTCCCGCCAGGAGGACTGCTTACCTCATGTCACTCCAGACTGGGTCCTGTTTTACACGTGGAAACTTTATTTTCTTAAAGTAGGCCCCACCCCCAATGTGGGGCTTGAACTCTTGATCCTGAGATCAGGAATTGTGTGCTGTATGGACTGAGCCAGCCAGGGGGCCTCCTGCCTTGCAGTTGTATAACCTATGCAGTCATTCCAGCCGCCACCCTTCAGCCTCTACTTTGAACTGACGTTACATTTTATGATTGGTCTTTTTCTCCTCCCGATCAAACATTAATATTTTTATTGTGTAATTTCACCCCCTGGGGTTCTCTTAAGGAGCATAGTGGTCTAATAGGAAAAACAGAGCCTTTAGAATTAACCCCAAATTTAAAAAAAAAATTTTTTTTAACGTTTATTTATTTTTGAGACAGAGAGAGACAGAGCATGAACGGGGGAGGGGCAGAGAGAGAGGGAGACACAGAATCTGAAGCAGGCCCCAGGCTGTCAGCACAGAGCCCGAAGCGGGGCTCGAACTCACAGACCGCGAGAGCATGACCTGAGCCGAAGTCAGACGCTCAACTGACTGAGCCACCCAGGTGCCCCAGAATTAACCCCGAATTTGAATCATGATGCTGCCACTTGGTGACGTGACTTTAGGCAAGTTCCTTAACCTTTCAGCTTCAATTTCTACATCTGTAAGGAGCGGCAGATAATAGCACCTGCTTCAAATGATGTTACGAGAATTAAATTAGAGATGCTGATGTATACATACAAGGAGTGTCTGGGAGAAGTAGATTCAGGGTGTATTAGTACTCTCAAAATTGCCACATTAATTTTGGGAACAAAATAACAAAGAACAATTTAGCTTCTTTTCCTAGACCAGCCATCACAATCTTACACAGGTAAGAGAAAAATTGAGAGTGGAGATCTGGCTTTTAAACGCACCTTAAAAGTTCATGCACATCTTCAGAGGATCTACTTAGGAGTTCTTCCTCATTTGTTGAAAGTGACGTACATCTTTGTGAATCCAGACAATCTGCAAGAAACTTGTGGTTTCTTTCTATGGAAATTCATTGATGTAATCTTGCAAATACAAATCTGGAAACTGACTCATAGGTTTCCTTTCCTTTACACAATTTGAGTCTAGATGGTACTTTAAAAAAAATGCCGGAACAACACGTTATTTCATACCTGGACAGGTTTTCAAGGGCCTAGGGTGGGAGAAGCCCTGCAGGTGTTGGGATCGGTATACAGCAGAGGGGAAGGAAACAGGCGTCTTGTGACTTAAATGGCATCCCTTCTCTTTCACCCTTATTCCATACCAGCAACCCTCATGACCTCTGACTCAGCTCTGTGTTGAGCCCACCTGGTGCACCGTCAGACATAAGGCTCTCTACATCCACCGCAGACCCTTCTTGTTGCCATCTCCCAAAGGGTTAGGGGAATTTTCCCGTTCTGATGTCAACTTTGAAATAGTGACTAGGTGTTGTAATAGTATTCCATACCTTTCCATCATGATGAATCATCCACGGTAAAGACAACATTTACTTGTCTGAATTGATTGATTGATTGTTTGATTCATCCATTCATTCAATCATTAACGAATATTTACTGGATGCCTACCTTGTGCCAGGCTCTGTGCCAAATACTGTTAAAGGGTAGTATTTATTAAGGCTTGTTTTTGGGGGGAGGGGAAGGGGGCAGTTTTAGATTCACAGCAAAACTGGGGGGGAAGGAAAAGAGATTTCCCGTATACGCTCTGCTCCCACACATGCACAACCTCCCCCCCTTGTCATCATCCTGCAGCAGAGTGTACATTTGTTACAACTGACGGACCTTCACTGACACATAATCACCCTTAGTCCATAGTTTAAATCAGAGTTCACTCTTGGTGTGGTACATTCTGTGGGTTTAGACAAACGTATAATAACATGTATCCGCCATTATGGTGTCATACAGAGTGTTCTCACTGCCCTAAAAATCCTCTGTGCCCCATTCATTCATCCCGCTGCTCTTGAACTCCGATGAGTTCAGCTATCAACAGATAGTTTAGCAGTGCTTTATGAATACAACATGTCATGCTGATATCACCACCTTTCCTTTCTATTCGAGAAAACGTATCTGAGCACTGGTATTATGATAGAAATAATTTCACGTGTCATAATAGATGTGGCATTGTGATATGAAAAGTCTTGAAGCAGTTCTAATTCATGACCTTCAAAGCAAATCGTTCAGAAACTCTTGTATTCAAATGGTCATTACCAACAAATTATGGGGGACGCAGTTCAGCTGAAGGTGGGAACAGCCGTTGAGGTGCTAGGTCTCGTGGCCATGAGACTGTCGGGGTTGGGGTTTTCAAAAAGAGTACCATTAATCCACCCAATAGTCTTTTGACTTTGTGACAAAAACAACTGCATGGGGCTACAATGCAATTTATGAAGGAAGTCATTCAATAACATTTACCAACTGCCAATCCGTACTCTCCTAGGATGTGGGAGGAACACTGGTGTTTCTCATCTTTGGCTACACTTAAGAGTCACACGAGGGCATGGCAGTTCATCAAAAAGCATAAACCTACACTAAAATTGGGCCAATACAGAGAAAATGAACATGGCCCCTGAGCAAGGATTGCCGCAGATTTGTGAAGCGTTTTGTATTTTTCTTTTGCATCTGTGTGAGATGATGGATGTTGACTAAACTGCTTGTGCTAATCATTCGATATATGTCAGATCATCATGCTGTACGCCCTAAACTGATACAGTGCTGTGCGTCAATTATATGAAAATGAACTCGGAAAAAAGTTAGACCTACCATTACCTCACGATCCAGCACACCCACTTCTGGGTCTCTAGCCAAAAGAATGGAAAGCAGGACTCAAACAGATTCATAGGCTCATTATTCACAGTAGCCAAAAGGCGGACAGTCCAAATGTCCATTAACAAATGCATTGATAAACAAAATGTGGTATTTACAGGCAGTACAATATTATTCAGCCTTGGAAAGGTAGGAAATTCTGACACACGTTACAACACGGATGAAGTTAGAAAGCATGACGCGTGAGCGAAATAAACCAGTCACAAAAGGATAAATACTGCATGATTCTAACTATACGAGGTACCTAAAAGAGACAAATTCACAGAGACAGAGGGTAGAATAGAGGTTACTAGGGCTTGCGGGGGAGAAGGGAATGGGGAGTCATTGTTTGATGGATACACTTTTTTGTTTGGGGCAGTGAGAAAGTTCTGGAAATAGACCATGACAACAGTTGCGCAACATTGTCAAAGGACTTAATGCCGCTGAGTTGTATGCTTAAAAATGGCGAAAATAGTAAATCTTACGTTGTACATGGTTTACTACGTACACACAAAAAGAGTCACCCGAGGAACCTTAGAGACATGCTGACACCCGGCTGTAGTCCTCAGAGACTCTAATTTTAATTGGTCTCAGGTGGGGCAGCAGTAGGTTTTCATATCCCTCAAGTTATTTTAATGTACAGTCAGGCTTAAGAAGGGAGGCTTAATCTCCAGGGCAGTGAGGCTCAGCCTTGACTACACATTAGAACTATTTGGGGAGTTTTACAGTACTCTGATGTCTGGGTGTTAACACCCAGGATTCTTATTTAATTGGCTTGGGGATGCTGCCTGGTCCCTGAGATTCTTTCTGAATTCTGCCTCTGATTCTAATATGCAAGCTAAGGTGAGAATCTTTGCTCTGGGCACACCCCACAATCTCTGCCTTTCGTCCCACCTTTAGAGAACAAGTATTTCTGTTTGTCAATGATGCAATCGAGGGCATAGTGCAAGATGGACTTCTGATGACAGACAAGGGGCCAAAGGCCACTTGGATTCTTTCTCTCTAGTTCCACAGAGTCAGAATATTAAAAGTGGGAGAAGCAAAGACCAGTAGAGGGCCCAGGAGAAAGGGGTCCATCCAGTAGGCTCACTCTTACAAGAGAAAGGCTCTTTACTCTTCCTGTAGACGTCTGGCTCCTACCATGGACAGTGCTCCCTGCCCTGTCCCCTGTCCCCCTTTGAGTTCCCCTTCCTCCCCAGGAGGGGCTCAGAGCTGACCTGCTCAGCCAGGGTCCCAAAGAACCAGGGCCGTTGAGAGTACCTCAATCAAGGGACCATACTGCTGGTGCAGGAAAAATTGGCCAGCTTACCTCAAAAGAACATCGAGATGGTAGGCACACACTATCCTCTGAGTGATCCTGACTTAACCCTCAGCCAATCTTTTGTCACTTTTCTCTTCCTTACTGTTTGTATTTCTGTTCTATACAAATGCTGGCTCACTCTGCTTATTAGGTCCTGTTGTATCCTGCTATTTTGTTTGCGAATGCCTGACTCCGACCCTTGGTCCTTGGAACCAAGGCCAACTAGACCAGGGGTGGGATGGGGATTTAGTCATGAAGCCGAAAGGCAATGTGGGATGAGGGTGACACCTAAAGACAGGAAGTGCGGAGAGAGCAGACGGGGCCAATCTGCTCTAGGCCTCACTGCAAAGTAGTGGTTCCCTATTAGTCTGTGTCATTTCATCAACACAGAATCCCGCCATAAGGATTTTGGCGTCCCTCACTCAGTGGTGGTAAGGGCCTTTAAGGTCCCATGTATAACATTCCCCTCTTCCATTTATGTGGCCCTTGGGAACCAACCAGACATTGACTGGCAAGGGGACCTGGAGTTTCAGATCCTGGCTATCCCTTCAGACACAGCTGTCAAGGGAAACAAAATATAAAACAGAATCTGTGTTTCCTAGGAATTTACGGTCTTGTTGGAGAGATAAATTGTATAAACACGAGAAAGTAGCAAGGCAAAGTTTTTGTTTCTGAGAGAGGGGGAGAGAGAGCGAGAGCGAGCGAGCATGAGTGGGGGAGAGGGGCAGAGAGAGAAAAGGAGAAAGAGAATCCCAAGCAAGCTCCAGGCTCGGTGCAGAGCCCAATGCAGGGCTTGTTCCCATGACCCTGGGATCATGACCTGAGCTGAAGTCAAGTGTTGGACGCTCAACTGACTGAGCCACCCAGGAGTCCTCAAAGAAAGGTTT